TCACGGGTCGAGCACAGACAGTGATAGTAAATGGAGTGACATCAGACTGGTGACCTGTCACTAGTGGGGTTCCACAGGGCTCCACCTTAGGCTGTTCTGTTCAACATGTTCATAACTGACTTAGATACAGTAATGGAAGGGATACTAAGCAAGTTTGCAAATGACACAAAACTGGGAGGAGTTGTTGACCCCCTCAAAGGCAGGAAAGCCCTGCAGAGAGACCTCAACAAATTGGAGAACTGGGCAATCACCAACCACATGAAGTTCAACAAGGGAAAGTGTTGGATTCTACACTTGGGATGAGGCAATCCTGGATGTACATATAGAGTGGGGGATGAGATGCTGGAAAGCACTACCATGGAAAGAGACCTGGGAGTCCTGTTTGGTGGCAAGTTCAACATGAGTCAGCAGTGCTCTTTAAGCTAGGAGGGCCAACCGTGTCCTGGGGGCATCAGGCAAAGCATCACCAGCCAGTCGAGGGAGGTGATTGTCCCACTCTGCTCTGCACTGGTGCGACCTCACCTTGAATATTGTGTGCAGTTTTGGGCACTGCAATAGAAGGAAGACATTAAGCTCTTAGAGAGCATCCAAAGGAAGGCAATGAATATGGTGAAGGGCTTTGAGGGAAAGCTGTATGAGGAATAGCTGAAGTCACTTGGTCTGTTCACCCTGGAGAAGAGGAGACTGAGGGAAGACCTCATTGCAGTCTACAGTTTCCCCGTGAGGGGAAGAGAAGGGACAGGCACTGATCTCTTCTCTCTGGTGACCAGTGACAGAACGAGAGGGAATGGCCTGAAGTTGTGTCAGGGGAGATTTAGGTTAGATATTAGAAAAAGGTTCGTCCTCCAGAAGTTGGTTGGGCACTGGAACAGGTTCCCAAGGGAAGTGATCACAGCACCAAGCCTGACAGAGTTCAAGAAGCATTTGGACAGTGCTCTCAGGCACATGGTGTGACTCTTGGGGATGGTCCTGTGCAATGCTAAGAGTTGGATGTGATGATCCATTTGGGTCTCTTCCAACTCAGCATATTCTGTGATTCTGTGAAATATATCTGAAAAAATCCTCCAGAAGAATAGAAATGTATGAGGAATAAAGTGTTATTGGCTCAAGAAGTCTTTTCCACTAGCAATATGAAACTTGTTCTTAAAAAAGTACTATAAAATTTGTGATGCCTTTCTGAGGAAAGTAACACCCAGAAAACTATTTAATGCTTTTAAGTGAAATTCACACGTTAGGCAATTCTTTTCAGCTTAGCGGACCAATAATCTTGATTTTAATTGGACTTCTTTATCCTAGCTTCAAATAGTAAGAGACTCATCAGTTTTCTGCTGTAAACTATTGATATTGGCTACATTAATATTACATGTACTATAGCTCTGTCTTGCCTTTGTGTAACATGTCAGACATGCATTCCCTACCAGCGCTGGATTTAGCAGAGAATCATAGGATTAACTGGGTTGGAAGAGGCCTCCAAGATCATCAAGTCCAACCCTTGATCAAACTCCACTGTGATTACTAGATCATGGTACTCAGTGCCACATCCAGCCTCATCTTAAAAACCTCCAGAGACAGTGAATCCACCACCTCTCTGGGCAGGCCATTCCAATGCCTGATCACTCTCTCTGTAAAGAACTTCTTTCTAATATCCAACCTAAACCTCCCCTGGCAGAGCTTAAGCCCCTGCCCTCTTGTCCTACTGCTGATTGCCTGGGAGAAGAGACCGACCCCCACCTGGCTACAACCTCCTTTCAGGGAGTTGTAGAGAGTGATGAGGTCTCCCCTGAGCCTCCTCTTCTCCAGACTAAACAACCCCAGCTCCCTCATCCTCTCCTCATAGGACTTGTGCTCAAGAGAAGTGGAATAGGCAAGGGGTGAAGTGGGCAGGTACTGAAGTCTGCCACTCTGTCAGTATTCAGAAGTCCCATCCACTTGCATAGGTGATGCTGTTGAGCGGCAATCCCTTTTTAGAAGCACATAGTTCCTAGAACCCAGCTTATGGGTATTCAGTAGCAGAAATGTGGGAAATGCAGTAGGTATCAACATCACTTGCAAGACTACCACCCTCAGTGGACCACAGCAAAGGAGTATGGAGAGCCCAGCAACTCCACTGAAAAACTCTAGAGTAGCTTTCTTTTTGATATATTGCAGACCCCTCTGATTTCAGAAGAAACACTCCTATTTGTTGGAGGGAAGTAGTTAGCCTTTCTTTCCTCATCTATGGCTCTGGAGAAAACAGCAGGTGCATCTCCAAAACTCTGAAAATCTGGTAGAGGAGCAGATGGGAGAACTGCCCATGGCATGCTGAGCTGCTGCAGCTTCCTCTCATGCTCTCCGTGATACTCTCTTATCAGTGTTTGGAGCTGCCACCTAGATGGACCACAAGTCTGGATTTTAGAATGGTCACAGGTTAGCACTTGGGAGGAAAAACTGACTTCAACTCTCTGTTTATTCTGGGGATACAATGACTTTGTCTTCTAGGTATTTCTGCATCTCTCACTTCTCATGCCCCCTAAAAAAATGTCTTCTGGTTTTGCAGTACCATCAGTAGGCAGGGTTAACCTACTCATTGTACTTGTGTTACCCTGTTTTTCTAGCACAGACAGAAAGTCTTAAAGTCACAGGATTTGCATCCTGCTTGCTCTTCAGTCTTAGCCTTTAATAGAATTACTAAATGACTGACATAAAAGAAGGTATTAGAGGGAACATGAAAATACACCCTCCAAATGCATAGATATGCACTGCAATTTGATGGAGGCCAAAAATCACAGTGAGACACAGTGCCAATTTCATATGATTGACATCTAATTCAATGATGTCCCTTACCCACAGACAAGTTAGAATCATACCACAAGAATTTTCTGCCATTTCTGTGTCTTCTCCTCAATACTCTCTAAGATCTGTTTATTACGCTAGCTACACTGGGGACCATGCTTTTAAATAGCTTTTAAATACCTTCCCCATTCTCAAAGCAAAGATTTTCAGCCTTCCAACGACAGAAACTAAGTAATATAAATGTCACCTTTCTCATAGTCTCAGTGTATCCTGCTTGTCCTACTACAATGACAGGAAGGAATACCACGGGCTCATTAATTCTTTTTACTGCTCTCAAACAAAACAACAGTCACTAAGCAGAAGGAACCAGCAACATACCTTCTTGATGCACAGAGCATGTTGCTGATCTAATGCTGGTGAGATGTTGTTTCCTAAGAGCTGAGCAACCCTGTTGGTCCACCAGGATTTTCTAAGTGTCATTTTTAATAGCTCCTGAATAACTCCTATCACAAATATTCACTCAACCAAGCTATTAGGTTCTGAAACCAGAAAATTCATATTTTATCTCTGTAATACTGGAGTTTATGTTGAGAGAAAGTTTTAAACAAGGATCTGTAATTTCCCTGCAGCTAGAAATGTCTGCCATTGTGTTATGGCCAGTAACATGCTTTGACCAAAGGGATATTCCAAACATTATGATGTCAGCTCAGATATAAAAGCTGAGGCAAGGAGCAGGAAGGCAGGCATTCGTTGTCTCCAGTGGCTGCCTGCTGAGGAACTGTCACTGAAGCCTGTGCTGCTCGGGAGTGGCCAACCATCGGTGCCCATGGGAAGCAGAGAATAGACCTGTTATCTTTCACTTTGCTTTTGCACACTCAAGCTTCCGTTTTGCTTTTTACTTTAAATAAACTGCCTTATCCCAAACTATGAGTTGTTTTTCCAATTTACTCTGTCCCCTGTCCACCTGGGAAAGGGTGTGATAGAGCAACTGGGTAGGCACCTGTCATCCAACCAAGGTCAACCCACCACAGGCTGTTAGTAACTTGCTGATCTTCTTTGCTACAGAACAGAGACAAAAATTTGCCTCATCTAATTTGAATATTCATCACTTGGTCTAAGATACTCAACTAAGGATTTTCCATAACTGGTGAAGTATATCTGAAATACATATTTTGTGTGTGTGTGCGTGTATATATATATATATATATATATATATAAAATCCATACATCCATATATATATATCTAAAATACATGTTTTGTAATAATTGCTTGCTCTGTGATAGTCTGTTTCTCTCCCCTTATATGAAAGAAACTAAATTACTATCTTTGATAGTCTAGTTCCCCTGGGTGTTCCTAATTTAGCTTTGACAGCTAGATTTAGACAAGAAAGATTCCATACTAAATTGCCTTTTAGTCTTACATTCAGTGACCTGTTATATAAGCTCTTACTAATTTTCTGCTAAAACTGTATATTCTAAGCCATGGGTTGCTTGGGTAATTCATACCTCAGAACTGGTCTTTCAGAGCTGTGCCACTTTAGTGAAGCAATGCAAATGAAGAGTAGTGTGTAAGGTCCAAAGGCAGATTCTGTGATTCTAAGACAGATACAGGAAAAATATGCATTAACCAACTTTGCATAGTTGGTTGTACAGAAGACCAAGTGAAAATACAGAACAAACACCTCTTCAGAAAAATTACTCCAAAGGTGGGGACACCATCAGCCTAATTTCTCCATTCTTCTTCATTCAACTCCTCTCACCAATTACATGAATTCAGACTACAATTATGTAAGAAAAGGTTTCATAGTATATTTATTTCCAGAGTCCCTTTATTACAAGGTTTATTTTCTTTAGTCTAGTGCTTCCAGTTTCATAATTGAGTAGAACACAGGACACTTGTAGCTGTACAGGTAGCAAGGATCCCTGCTAGATCCTTCTTGTATTAACCCTTCAACACAAAACAGCAAACCAGTCCAGTCCAGCCCACTCCAGACAGCTAAGGGGAGAGGATCAACACCAAGTCAGGCAGCACACACAGGTGACCCGTGGACACAGCACATCTAACAGAAAGGTTGCAATACACTGCATTCCTAAAAGCTATGACAATCGTGGTGCAAGAGGAAAGTGAGAAGGAGTGAGGTCTTCACTGCTCCCTGTAACAGTACAGAGGTCTTTCATGTCAGGACAGTCTGGGTCATGTTGGGGATGGAGATCGAGAGATCGAGATAGAGATACACTTAATAATGCAAGGAATAAGCCTACAGGAAAGGGCTCCCCTGAAATAATACATCATTATTGTTATGCACAACTAATACTTCCCAAGTAATTGCTAAGCATTAAATAGTAATATATATAAAGCCATTTTTTATTCTAGTAACCAACTCTATTTACAATTAAGACTATCCTGGATCTAGAGGACCTGGGATGATTAGGTCTTAAGGTCTTTGTGCAAGACCTTACACCACATTATAAATACACAACTCCTGTTCCAAATAGCAGAGTTAAACGTATTCTTTGCAAACTCTACAGCACCTGGACCATCGAAAGGTCAAGTATGTATGCAGTGGGTCTTACTGAAAGGTCACAAGAGATGCAAATAAGAATCACCTTTAGCATGGTCCACACCATTTCTCTCTTTGAAAAATGCACACTAAATCCCTCTGGCCAAACCTCTCTCCATCTTTCCTGTATGCAGAGAGAGCAGGGTGAGGGGTCAGTGCACTTCACTGGTGGTTCTCCCCAAAGAGAGCATTTGAAGAGATGTCTCCTGCTAGTACAGGCAATGAGGGGGCAGAGAGTACAGCTGGGTCACATTGTACAAGTACATTATAGACACAGCCAGTTTATCTTTCTTCATAATTTTCTGGTTTTATTTAGGTATTTATTCTGTATACTTTTTTATTCAAAATGTGCATGCTACCTACATTCACTGAGGCTTTGAAACACAAAAACGTTTGTACACATTAATATGGAAAGATAGGGGGTTTACAATTACTGTAAGCCCCTCTAAATCTAATACATGGGTTTAAGAATAGAAATAATAAATTCATAGGTAACTACTTCAGGGGTTGCTGACCATTAATCACATTTTTTCAGACATGCAGGAATAGCCCCAGCACTGCACATTAGCATATAAATAACAAAATAATAAAATAAAAATAAATTAAAAAATATTTTCCAAATAGTGTTTTAATTGGTGAGTTCCAGGAAACTTCATTTTGCTGTTAAGAGTTCAGTTCCACACCATTTAGATTGGCTTATTATTTTTAAAAACTGAGTGCTTTAGGACAGAAAACACAGGCGTCAAATGAAGTCAAACCTTTCAATCTACTCATGCAAAAGTACCTGGAATTAATGACAACTTATTTGGGGGCCTTCAAGCCAAACATCTGCAGGACCAGAGCTGAACCTAGACTTCTATATTGTTAGGTGACCCAAACACAATGCACTGCAGTCCCAGCTGGTCCCTGGGTGTGTCAGGAGGCACCATCTCAGCATAGCCATGGTTGGGGACTGCTCTCTCTGGGACACTCTCCTAAGAAAAGACATGCTAAGCCTGCAGTCAGGCATCACCTTTCGCCTCCTGTTCTGCCCTGTGAAAAGAGCACCAAAAAATTGCCACCTGTCCAGCATTCCCAGCGCAGTTCATGTGAAGCACTTCTTATTCCAGGCATTTCTTAATCCATTTCTTTGGTCCAGGAGAGGTCTTTCAGACCAAGTCAAATCACCCTTTAGAAATGCTGAAGCTCAGCAAAACAGATCAGGAAACACCCATGAAAACTCCACTGCTGATGGGAATGAGCAGATCAGGCATCTACATCACCAAATGACACAGCTCTTCACTGGTGGAACGGCCTGTCAAAAGCCCTGAGTGGGAAAAGGTAACATCTGGTAAGTTCTTCTGTTACTGAGAGCACTCTTTCGTGTTTGTTTTTCTGGAAATACTTGGTGAGAGAAAATGTCTTGGAAATCATCTAATGCCTTCTGGTCTATTTAATCCTGCTCAGTGCTCTGAGCTAAGTGTTTGTGCACCTGTGTGATTAAGATTTATATGTGTAATGTGAAAATTAAGACATGTATATATGTATAATGTGAAGACTAAGATCTATATGCATAACTGTGAACTGACGTCCATTTTAAGGTAGATGGAAATAAATAAAATATTTGGCTATATATTATAATGCTATTATAATAGCATGTATAAAATAAACTAGAATGGTTGCATTGAATCACAGGAAGAAATAGACAAAAAAATCAGACCCACATGGTTTGTTAAAAAATATCACCAACAAAACAAGAAGGCAGAAAAACAGATTTGTATAAAATTTGTTTAAATGCCAACCAGCAACAGTGTATAATAGACAAATTTAGCATTTTGCCAATGAGAATTTTGCCACTTTCAAAATTAGCTGTCTATTTATTCCTTGCTTGAGAGGTTGGAATGAAGTCTTTTTTTTCTCTGAGGAATTTCTAGCTTCCTCCATGCCTAGAGGTTGGACAGAAAGCAGTTGAACTGGAGGTGATCTTTTGCCCTTCCCTCACAGCAATCTCTCAGTGCCTCCTGTGCTCTGTTCCTGCCCCAGCACCTTCAGCTACGCACACAGGAGCAGCGGTGAGCAGCAGGGGTGGACCTCACCTGAGGCTCTCATATAAATTTCATCCATTGACAGCCAATGACAGAAGAGCCATTTGTCCGTACTGTTCGCACTCAGCCAACAAACACACAGCTACCACACATGGCACATGAGTCAACTGAATGTGGGTTTTAATTTCATTACACTAGATGGAAACTCATGTTCTTTCTATGAGCTCTTCTCAGCAGCAGAGGCAGCCACCCCACATGCAATCACCACTAGATAATTTTTTTTATTGGTAAAACCCTCAGAGGTAAACAACTTTGCTAATAGTGCAGTGCAATGAAAATAAAATCTGTGGCAGATGGTTGCCAATGTGTCCTGTTTAGACACTTCAGATAAACAGGAAATGGCAGAGAGGCACAACAAGTGTAAAACAGAAACTGGTGGAAATAACCAGTTATCAATTTGCAACTCTCTTAGAGACTTCTTTAACCGTTGGAAACTTTAAATAGTAGGAGATTTATCCCTTTTCTCCACTCTAAATATGCTGTTTAAATGTATTTTTCATAGAAAATAAAAACCTTAAGTAAAAAATATGAACATAGAAGTCTAGAAATATGAAATAAAAGTATAACATTATATGCCTCCTGCACAGAAAATGAAAGAATATAGAAAAGTTTATTATTATTGTTAGAATTTATTGTAGAGTTGTACGGTTATTGTAAGTTATTAGTATTGTCATCTTAAACACTAAGGATTTGTTTTAAAGTCATATTGTCCAATTATTTGGGCATATACTTTAAACAAAAGGCCTGAAATTAGAGCAGAATGGAAAAATAACTATTTTTGCAAGCATCTCACAGAAACAAAGGTTCCATTGAAGGGTGGCATCTTTTATTGATTTATTTTAGATTTAATTGAAAACAAAATCCGCTTACCTCTGTTATAAGTAGATTGTGAAAGACAAGAATATATGATTTAATATTCGCATGTATGCCTCTGCACATTTAAATACTGATTTTATTTCAGTGTTTTACTATCAGCTGTCCCAGCTGTTCCAGCAAGTAACGGTCAGCCTAGCCAAAACCTGTCTGTGATAAAAATTGTGAGGAGTTCCAGTCTAACAGCATGCTGTGTAACAACACATTTTCTTTTATGAGCTTTAAAATGGATTTTTTTTTTCAATTTCACAGTAGTTGCCTAGTTCTTCTACTATAGAGATGAATAGAAGTTCTATTTTTGTATCATGTTATATAATTTTGTCAAATCTCTTCATTAAACTAGATCAGTCCTACTCTTTTCAGAATCTACTACCTTCATTTTCAGCTTTAATTGCATCTGTCAAATAAGTTTCTAGATATTGAACAAAAATCTCTTTGAGCAGCTTTTCTTCCTATAACTCCAGCTTCCTTCAAAATCGGTGCAACTGCTCTTCGTACCAAACACTTGATTACTAGCAGGGCTTTCTTATGAAACTTTATGCGCCTTTTCCCCTTCCCAGTTATTAGACTGAGTGTAGCTCCTTTTATTCTTAGTGTTGATATGGAGTGCTATGAGCTCATATGAGCTAAGGAAATAGCTTATTTTACTTTTTTAATTCACTAGTAACTCCTAAATGTAGTATTACCTGGCCAGATTACAAACTGAATCTTTTGAAAACATTGCAGAATCAAGGAGTTGAATTATTTCAAGCTGAACAGGATTTATTTCTTTTATTACAGGAATATCATAAATCAACGTGCATTCTGTGTTGTCTTTTTAATACAGTGTAGTGATTTTCTGAAATCAAAGGAGAGAAATAATTTCAGTTTGGAAAGTGAAGCATTTTACTTTGAAAAATGTTGAAATGAACCATTGTGATAAATGGTTTTGATTTTTGTTTCAAATCTGGAAAATAAAAAAACCTCACAAAATATCTATGTATCTTTCTGGGTTCACTTTTTTTCTCAAGCCTTTTTCTACAATTTTCATGCAAAACATGTTCTATAATTCTGTTTCTATATTCTTATTCATACAAATGCTTATTCTTCCAGACCTACTCTTTGCTGATCTCTTTTAGCTCCTGGCTGTTGAGGAAAGCAGACAGTAGATACGAATCACGAATAAAAAGCATGGACTCAATAACATGATCAAAAAAGCTAATTAAAGCAGTTTTCTAACCTTTACCCAGTACTATTTTTGTAAGACAGTGATAAAGGAAATAAAATTAAGCTGATGCTAGTCCCAAATATGGTTTCATTGGCTACTGCAACTGAGGTGGCTATGGTTTGAAAAGCTCGTGGTCTGTGACAGGACTCTTTGGTTTTTTCTGTTCTAGGATAAACATTTTTCCCCAATGTCTCATTCATTAAACTGCTGAAAAATTATACTATGCTTTTTTTTCACAAGTTAAAAATGAACTGACATTCTCTCACAGAGAACTTTAAACTCCATACATCTTAAAAATAAGGTCAAACCCTTTACCTTTCTCAAATAATTTTCACTCTGTTGAACTATCAAATCTATTTCTCTTTTGCATTCCTAGGTGATCTTGCACCTATATTGTCAGGTCTCATAACAAGGGGTCAAAGCAGACACTAGGTACTACTTAAAACTTAGTCTTTCTGCCATGCAGCTTGTACTGCTGTTGTACCCACAAACATCTACAGGTGCAGCCCATGTACTGAGAAATGTAAACTTTGTCAGCCGCCAAAGAGGTCTGGTCAATGCCCAGAAACAGTGTTTTCAAGGAGATTGGGAACAAAACTGACAGAGCCTTGAAGGTGATTTCAAAGATCACAGCAAAGCATAATGAAGGACACCAGAAACAGATCTGTAAAAGAAAAATGCCTGCATTAGAACATTTTATTTTCTAATTCTGCACCTTGTTACAACAGCGATATCCTATTAAAATCAATAGGGTTTAACAAAAGAATTAGACGACATCATTTTGAGTAAAATAGAGCATACTTCAGTAATATGTGAGAGGGATTGAAAGCATCAGTACATTTCTGAACATATAAATGCGCTCTCTACTTTTCACTGACTACACTTTGCATTTAAATTATTTTATCTACTTCAGTACTTTGGACCTGATTTCTCTTTTATCTGTTTTTATTCAATGAGACCGCTTGAATAAAAACACAGATTAGGTGATGCTGAAAAGTATTGTGAATTTCTATTCATTTTGCAGAATTTTGATTTCAGAGTATACCTTAGATTGCTTCTCAAGGTGTTTTCAAAGTGAAATGAATGAGAAAAAAATCTTGCTGGGACTTTCATAAGAACAGACTCTTGTTCTTTGTTACTCTCCACAATAGCAACTTTTTTTGTGATTACAAATTCTTACCATTTTTCTTGGTTTATTGTCTGTAGCTCTATTATCTTTATAGAATCTACAGACTTCATTAACTCAGCATAGAAGACTTCTCTCTTTTTATTTTTTAAGTTGTCTCTGTGTAAATATTAGTGTTCCTGGGGGATAGTTAAATTGCATGTGTCGAATTTCGTGCATCCATAACTCCTTCAGCTTTGCATTTTAACAAATACAGAAGTAAAATCCATCTTTCAAGACTGGGAGAAGAGGACATGGGGCGGAGATGATCCTCCTCATGCAATTTTTCCCCTACTCTCTTTTCTATTTTTCCTTGTATTTGTCCATTTGCTTTCTTCTAGTTTCATCAAGCAGCTTGTGGTGGTTGAAGGCAAAGGTTCACCTGGTGCACTGAGGCAGCAAAAAAATACCTCAAGTACTTGGTTAGTGCGGTTCCTGCTCGATCAGGACTGAGAAGGGCATGACTTTGGGGCTTTACAGTGCTCCGTGCCCTTGGGTAACCTCATTGCATGCTCTGGCAAGCACATTTTTAGCCATGGTGCAGGTGCCGACACTGCCCCCAGGGAGATCTCCCCTGAGCTCTGGCAAGACAGCTGAGTGCCTGGAGCAGGAAGCAGCTCTCCCAGTGCTCCCAGTTTTACTAAGGGAAAGTGCCAAAGTACCTCACTTGGCAACCTGCAGTGAAGTGCCATCCCAAAGCTCAGGTACTGCCTGACAAGGCAGAGAGCCCAGGGCCACCAGGGACTAGACATCCCATGTCCATCTTCCCTCATGGGGAACACTGTTTCATTTAGGTACACACAGTTTGACATAATCACTGATTTTAGTCTTGATAAAACATTCCAAAAGCCTCTAAGTGGATTTACCAGATCATTTGCTTCAGTACATTCCACACATCACACAAGAGGTTGTTTTTAAGGGTCAACCTGGTAGTTCATTTGGTAGCGCTTAGACTAGGTGGATAACACACAGGCATGCTGCACTGTTTCAATTTAAAGTCCCCAGGGAATTTTTCCTGTATCTTTAGGGAGAAAAGGTTGACAGAATGGGAGAGTTTGTTCAGGCTGGAGAAGAAAAGGCTGAGGAGGGAATGGCAGCCATCTTGCAAAGTGAATAAACTCTGCTCAATGATCAGTGAGGCAAGAAGTCAAATTAATGGAATTCTGGGGCCAACAGTTGTTGAAGTTTCACTTAGATATCAAGAAAGTCTTTCTAGTAGTAAGGATCGTTAATGACTGGAAAAGTTGTCAGTAATGACTTAGGCACATTTAACTCCACCCAAGGACAAAGAGACAGACTATGCAACCTCTGAAGATCCTATTTGACTCTTCATTCATTTGGACTAGGCATTATGGCTTTTAATGTACAGGGATTCAGACTGGATGTATGTTCTGTCCATTCTGGCCTTTGGCCCTATTTCATTGTGGAAATGAAGAAATCTATTTCTTGGTCTGTAATTCAGCATAAAGCCTTTTTCAGAAGCTCATGCCTACATATGAACTGCAGCAGCACTAACACTGCTAAGCCACAGCTTGTCCTGGCTCTTGTCGAAATACAGAAACAGTGGCAAAAGCACAGAAAGCTGAGGCTTGAGATGGCCTAGCGCAACCCACCTGCTCAAGCAGGGTCACCTAGAGCCAGCTGCCCAGGATCATGTTCAGATGACTTTGAAATACAATAGAATCACCAAATCAGTTAGGTTGGAAAAGACCTCTGAGATAATCAAGTCCAACCTATGACCGAAGACCACTGTGCCAACTAGACCATGGCACTAAGTGAACACCTCCAGGGACGGTGACTCTATCCCCTCCCTGAGCAACCCATTTCAATGTCTAATCATCCTTTCTGTAAAGAAATTCTTCCTAATGTCCAAACTAAACCTCACCTGGCACAGCTTTAGACAGTGTCCTCTTGTCCTGTCACTAGCTGCCAAGGAGAAGAGGCCAACTCCCACCTGGCTACAATCTCCTTTCAGATAGTTGTAGAGAGCGATAAAGTCACCCCTGAGCCTCCTCTTCTCGAGGTTAAACAAAGAATGGAATCTCCACAACCTCTTTGGGAAACCTGTGCCAGACTTCAATCACCCTCCATGTAGAAAGGTGTTTTCCTGTGTTGAGAGGGAATCTCCTCTATTTCTCTTTGTGTCCACTGCCTCCGGTCCTGCCACTGGGAACCCCTGAGATTAGTCAGGCTCCCTCTTCTTTACCCTCCACCATCAGAAATTTATAAACATTGATAAGATCCCCCTGGAGCCATCTTATATTTAGGCTTAACAATCTCAGCTCTCAGCCTTTCCTCTAGTATGAGATGCTCATACTCCCCTGAAGATCCCTTCATGCTGCTTTGCTGGACTTTGCTGTAGAGTGTCCTTTTCCTCTTTTACTTGGGAGCCCAGCACTGGACCCAGTACTTCAGGTATGTCTCACCAGTGTTGAAGGCAGTGACAATGAGACAAATAATCAAAAGTAATGTAAAGTAGATCAGAAATTCAAGAAGAGAGTAATTTGTATGAGGCTGCCACTAATGTCCTGCTTACTGTATGAGATCAATCAGCAAGATTTAGCTGTGATGATATCATGTTTCTAAAGATATTTTTGCCAGCTGAATATGTTATTCATTAGCCTGAAGGAGAGTGAGATAAACTTAACTACTATTTCAGAAAACTTTCTTTTTTTCTGAGAATGGAATTATTTTGTTTGTTTGTTTGTTTGTTTTTAAAATAAATGGGCTTCCTATTTTTTCATAAGCTTCCCATGGGCATTAATAAAATCAAAACCAAAACAACTCTACAGACAATCATTGCTTGAAAGGAATTCTTACTCCTCATCCAATACTGAATGAACCATACAATCAGCCACTGAACTGCAGTATCTTGCCCAAAGATATTTTTTATTGCTCATAATGCCTCACTACAAAAACAACCTCCTCTTCCCCATCCCATTAACACACAAGATGTCCACAGAGATTTTTTTGGCATTTGTAAACCACTTACAATTGAAATGACATTATGAATTCCTAAATTATGAGAGCTGATTGCAAAAGAATAAAGAACAGTTCCTAATGGAGAGGAAGAGGATCCCAAAAGCATATAGAGGATTACAGCAAGTCCTTTAGACAATCCCTTTTTAAATTAGACAGGAATGTTTAATTTTCTCACAAGGATAAAACATTCTTCATGCTATCAACCCAAATATGAACTATAAAAATAATATATATTCTGTCATCCTATCTGGCTATGCCTCAAAACACAAGGGCTTTAAGAAGTAAAGTACTTGTAACTAAGCCACATATTTGGTATGAACATCCCTCAAGACCCAAAATATGCTCATGAAAGGAATTAAAATACTGAAAAAATTTTATAATTCCATTTATGCCCTCTTAAATAAAAAAAAATAAAATTCTGAATTACTGCTAATTTGAACTACTCCTTAACAAAAAGCTTTATTATTTTGAGAATAGAACATTCACTTATAACACAAGTAAAACATCTGCAGTAGGAGACCAATCAAGAAAGCAGAGTGTGGATTAGTCTGCTCCCTGAAGAATGGTAATGTATTTTAAATGATTTACCAGAGCCCTCTTTCTCCATCCTTCCATTGCATGTCACCGTCCTTGCATGCCCTGTGTATCAGCTAAGGCAGCTGGACAAAGCACACACTTCACTCCTGTAAAAATGCTGGCAGATGGAACTGAGAAAGGGCCCAGGAGGCAAACCATGAAGGTGCTTAGGACATGGAAGTGCGTTACCCTTGAGCCAAAGCCCTTTGGGCAGGCTTTCCTCAAGCAGCAGGTTGACCACACCTGTCCGCACAGTGCCTTGAGAGATCCCACAGCTGCATCTCCAAAGAATTCCAGGCTGGCAAAGGAACCTCTTTCAGAAAACTGAACTCTAGCTGATTGTTCCTGGGAGCAGCAGTGTCTCTGAAAGCCCCATATATGTTTACAGCTGCCTGCTCTGTATGCTTTTCTGCACCCAAGTGCTGCTGCTGCCACGTAATGCAGCACAGAGATTGTATTTGGTAATTTAGCACAAACGAATGTGCAATTTGCATGATGACACTGACAGGACAGGTGGGATTCATCTTGCCAAAAGGTAGACATATATATTATACAACCCATGAAGTCGCCTAGACTTCTTTTGTAATTAAAGGAGATGAATGAATACTTCTCAGATCTGAGCTACATAATGTATTTTAGCCATCTACCATAAGACTAACTTAATAATTTTTCTAGCATTGCCTTTTTTTCCTTTACCTACTATAGAATGAGTTCAGGTGAATGAGTCAGATTCTAAAAAATTATCTGAATAAACCCCCATTCCTATCTTGCTGGTGAGTTATCAAGTCTTTGTATACAATAAACATGGTGACTACTCACATACAAATTGATATCTTTTGTACCACTTCTAATAAGGAAAAGATTTTCTTAAAAGAACAGGAAATAATGTTCATTCTTTAGCATTATCCCGAATCACAATCACTAACCTGGCTGCCATACATTTGTCTGAAATGTTAATTCTTATGCAAATGTCTATTTTGCAAATTTGTTTCTAGAAAGGGAAAATTAACTCCAAGGGAAAACATATAGCTTATGTCCCATTTGTATCCAAAAGAGAGGAGAGTGTAAGCACAGTGCATTAAGTGAATAACAGAGGTCCCTCTGAACAGCTACCTTTTACTCTGGGATGGAAGGGCCACTGGTATGGTGCAGGGTATTTTAAAGCAAATGCCAGTAGAGTCAGCCAATATTGCAGTATGTTTCCTTATATGTCACAGGCAACGTATTTTAGGATGGTTTCTGGCAATTTTAGTATTTTATTATTAGAACCCATTTTGCCCTCTGTGGGTTGTGGATTCAGCTGCTCTAGCTGTCATCCATCAAGTGATACAGTTTTCAGCAAAAGCCATGAAACTTATTATGATGACATTTTGTATTTCAGTGTCCAACATTTCAGACTCTTCCAGGACAGAAGTGGTTGCTCCCAAAGTTATCTTCTCTCTTCATGTGATCCAGGTTTTGGTTTCAGTCCTGAAAGGGCTGGTAAAAATTTAACATTTTACACCTCTCTATCTAAACCTCTCAGATCGAGACTATGGCATGTGAGATGATGGGCCTATTTATTTAAAAGGAATGGGGAAAGCAAATGGGGAGAGGAACAAAATGGGAAAAATTTCTGAAGTTATTTTTAAACTTTCCATGTTTCTGTACACCTTCAAAGGTCTGGTTGTTACTCTGGATGGCAAGAACATAGACTACAAGGAAGTGCTCTTCATCAGGATGATCAAAGGCACAGAAGTTCTCCGCTGAGCCACATCCATAAATACAGAGCAGAACAGCATGCCCACTCACCCCATTCAACTCTAGAAGAAGGAAGAAACATTGTTCGAAAGGAGCCTTTTCTTGTTTACTAAAAAATTCACCCTGTCCATAGCTGACACTCAATAACAAGTGTAACCCACCTATTTCACTCCTCCACAGCCATAAGACAAGCTATGGAAATAAGGCTTGAGGTGAGCCTAAACACATGGCAAACGTCTTCATAGGGAGTGAAATAAAAAACCTCTTGTGCACTCTCAGGGCTTCTACTCCATATGAGCCTGCCTCATAAAACAGAAAATACACAGGTGAAAGTCAGATGCTGCTGAGATACCATGCCCACCAAACTCCAGAAAGCATGCAAGTCCTCAGAGGACAGAAGGCACTGGTGATGTTACCCTTCAAGGTATCCTCTTTCCCACATCCCTATTTTCTTGTGGTTGTGTTCGCTTTACACATTTTATTGGTAACAGCAAAACCAGAAAGCACAAGGTTTCTGGTAAACGTTCACTTTTGTGTACAGCGTTTTCAAAAATGTCAAAGGCAATCTGTTAAGGTGGACTTTGGGGCCCTCTAGTGGCCACCGAGAGACGTCAGGGAAGAGGAATGGCATCTTTCCAAAACTCAGCCCCTACCATTTTCAAACCAAAATACGAACTGTAAGTAGAGTTCCTCTACCACTTCCAGGAGAATTAAAAGTCTTCATGAACCTCTGTCCTCACTCTGCTTTTCCATTCAACTTTGCTTCAGTGAACTAGGACTAAACAGAGTGTTGCCCTTTGCCATTATTTTTGTAGAGTCAAGGGTTGATTATGGTCCCAACAGATATCCTGAATTGCTTGCATCAAGGGGAAAGGCATTCCCAGTTTGTCATGGATATGGCAAATCTGTAAGTTTTATGACTTCTTAGTTCCTGTGCAACAAGAGTGGGACACAAAATTGGCTTCCATCTTATTACACACTTGGATAAAGGACATTACTGGAAAACTGTCCAGTCTAGTAAGGCCCTCTGATTTCTATCTGCTATTAGTTGATCAAACTGGCAGTGACCAAATAACAAAGAGAAGTCCAAAGGCCAGTAGAGACTTCAGGGCTCTGGGACAATTGGTTGAGGGATCAGGAGCACAGGTAGTGATTTCCTTGATTCTTCCAGTAATGAGGAATAATATTGATAGGAATAGGCAGATCCACCACATCAGTGAGTGGCTCTGAAGTTTGTGTACTCAGAAAAATTTTGGAGTTTTTGACCATGGGATGATCTACTCGACACCTGGTCTACAGATACCTGACAGGATACACCTATCTCAGAGGGAAAAAAAGTTCCAGCACAGGAGCTGGGGGGCTTGTTGACAGAGCTCTACACTAGCTTGGAAGAGGGAAAGGGACCAGGCTTACCAGTGATGAGTGATGGGATGGCGTGTCAAAACTTGAGAAAACCAACACTAATGATATCCTTCAATCTGCCTCATGAGGTGTGGCTACACTGTACCACACCCAAAATGTTTCTATACCGATGCACCCAGCATGAGGAACAAACAAAAGAAGCTGGAAGCCTTTGGTCCAGTCCCAGAGACTTGACATCACTGGTGTAATTGAAACCTGGTGGGATGAGTCTTGAGAGCAGACTTCAGGCTGCTCAGGGAATTAGTAAGTAAGGGCCCCTTGAAAAATATTTTTGCAGGTGCTAGGATCCATTAGTGATGGTCACTTTTCAAATACCACCTCCTAAGGGCACAGGAGCAACTCCCAAATGCTGGAAGTCAAGTAGGTGAGGCAGAGGCCCAGCTTGGCTGAGCAGGGATCTTCTCTTGGACATAAGGCAAAAAAGGAAGGTGTATGACCAGTGGAAGAAAGGTCAAATGGTGTGGGAAGAATTCAGAGATGCTACTTGCCACTGTAGGGAGAAAATTTGTGTGACCAAAGTTGAAGTGGAGTTGAAGCTGCCAGAAATGTGAGGGACAATAAAAAGAGGTTTTTCAAATGCATTAGTGACAATAGGCAGTATAGAATTATCATTTGCCTGTTCCAGCATGAGGATGGTCACCTCATAAACAGGGACAGAGACAAGGCAGAGGTGTTTAATGCTTTCTTTGCCTCTGTCTTCAACAGTAGATAATGGACCAAGGGGGTCTCAGTGCCCTGAGCTGGAGGACCATGACTGTAAGAGTGATTAACTCCCAGTCAATCCTGAAATTGTGTGGGATCTGCTCCAGCTGGATCCCTACAAATCTATGGGGCCTGATGGGATTCATCCCAGAATCCTCATAGAGCTGACTGATGTCATTGCAACACCTCTCTTAATGATTTTCTAGCAGTCTTGGGAATCTAAAGAGGTTCCAGCTGACTGGAAGCTGGTAAATGTTATTCTAATTTTCAAGAAGTACGAGTAAGAGGACTCCAGAAACTACAGGCCTCTCAGTCTCACTTCAGTGACTGGTAAAGTTATGGAGAAGATTATTCTGGGAGGTATTGAAAAACACCTGAAAGACAACGCAGTCATTAGTGAGCCAGAAAGGTTTCACAAGGTGAAAGTCCGGCTTATCAAACCTGATTTCCTTTTATGACAAGGTAACCCACCTAGTTGATCAAGGGGAGCCAGCTGATGTAATCTTTTCGGATGTCAGTAAAGCTTGCCATACTATCTTTCCTAGGATCCTTCTGGACAAAATGTCCAGCACACAGCTGGATAAACACATCATGTGGTGGGTGAGCAATTGGCTCATGGGTCAAGCACAGACAGTGATAGTGAATGGGGTAACATCAGGCTGGTGACCTGTCACTAGTGGAGCTCCACAGAGCTCCACCTTAGGCTATTCTGTTCAACATCTTCATAAATGACTTGGATGCAGGACTGGAAGGGATACTAAGCAAGCTTGCAGATGACACAAAACTGGGAGGAGCTGTTGACTCCCTTGAAGGCAGAGAGGCCCTGCAGAGAGACCTCAACAAATTGGAGGACTGGGCAATCACCAACCATATGAAGCTCAACAAGGGGAAGTGCCAGATTCTGCCCATTCTTCCCCCTGAGAGTGGTTGGGTACTGGAACAGGCTGCTCAAAGAAGTGGTCACAGCACCAAGTCTGACAGAGTTCAATAAGAGTTTGGACAATACTCTCAGGCACGTGGTGTGAGTCTTGGGGATGGTCCTGTGCAGAGCCAGGAGTTAGACTCCATGATCCGTATGGGTCCCTTCCAACTCAGCATATTTTGTGATTCTATGATCTTATTCTATAACTCCAGAACCCGAGAAGCAGGCCAGTGGGCAATTTGAAACTCTTACTGCCACACATGAAGGTATCCCAGCATGCGAATTGAGCTATAAGGCTTCTCTATAGCCAGAGAAGCAGCACTCTTTATTACCTCAGCACTGGAGCAATGCTGCAGCAGGACAGCACTGTGTCACCTCAAATATCACATGATGTGATGTCTGTCTCAGGCTTTGAAAAAAAGCTACATTCAAAACACAACACCGTATTCAGTAGTAAAGTGAGAGGTCGCTCCAGTATTTTGTCTTGAAAGTTCTGTGTTGTTTTGTGAGAAGTGAGTGGCTATATAGAAGACAGAGACTTCCTTTTAACAAGGAGTTATGTGGAAAAGATGAGGGGTAATGGATACAAGTTCATCCTGGGAAGATTCCAATTAGACAAAAGAGGAAAAAATTTTCATAGTGAGAAAAATCAGCTATTGTAATGGTCTCCCCAGGAAAGTGGTGAATTTCCCAATGTTGGACTCTTTTAAGAAACAGCTGGAAAGAATGATGGGACATCTTGTCTAGAACATGTTTTTGCCAAGCAAGTTTGGGACAAATGACCCCTGAGTTCTCCTTCCAACCTGTATTCTCTGGTTCTCTGATTCTAAAAAATTTCGACACCTGACTCTTCATCTAAAAACTTTGCAAGCCAGATTAAAGATTTCTAAAATCTATTCAAGCACCTGAAACTGTTGTAAAACAGTAGGACGAAGAATTAAAAGTACTCAGTGAGCTTGAAATAGTTCCCATAGAGGTAATTTCAGTATTGCTAACCCAGAATGTTTGAAATCTGGGGTAAATATCTTCCACTGTAAAATCATAAGATTTTTATTAAAATCTTGACAGTATAGGAAAGGCAGTATGGGTTTCATTTTGCCTAACTTCTTGTCTTCAACCTTCTCTATGGCATTTTACGTATAAAATTTTCTTCAGATCCCAGATATAAACCTATTTTTATGTAAAATTGGAGGTTTCCACAAATATCTTAGAGCCCCAGAAAAAAACAGCTTCTAGGCAGGACTCACAATAAAATCACAACTGGCAGCAGAGCAAGTTACTTCTACTGTCTTACTTATAAACATCTACTGCAGATATTCTCAGATCTGATTTTAATCAAGGAAAATTTCATGCCACATTGTTGTCCAGTTTCAGAAGATATTTTAGAGCATACACAAGCTGAGAGATAAAAGAAATGTCATGTTTGCGCTACAGTTTAGTTTATAGGCTGTACCTGGACTGCTTTCAGAAAGCATAATAGGTGCTTGAGGAGCCCCCAAAAGCACTCTTGCAGTCAGTGGAAAGGGGAAGAGATAGGTATGAACACAGAAATATATTCAGCTGACCAGTGCTGTGGCTGTCAGTAGTCATTAGAGACTCCTGAAACCCAAAATTTGGCAGACATGACCCTGTTTAAAGCCAGTTCCCTCTCTCCTCTCTCATGAAAGCCTGATTTCATGACTTGGTGATGCTGCAGAGAGGTTGCTGACTTTAGCAAGCTGCAGATGACAGCGGATGGTATGTCCATACAACACAACAGCATGTCAAGCAAAGGTACCTCAACCCTGTAAGCAGTCTAGCTGCCTGAGCAGAGTGTTTTATTGTGTTAAGTCATCAAAAGGAGGCCAGTGCTGCAGTAGGACCTCAATGCTGCCTCAGGTAACACCTCTGCAGAGAACAGCATCATGCTGGTCCTTATATCATAAGTGTGAATCAGCAACTCAGATCTTCTACAGGAGTGAAACAGATGTTTCTTTAAATGTATCTCCTGTTCAAAGCCTAGTTTAATTTTTGTCTTGTTTGTTGGGGTTTTTTTACTTCCTTTTGTTGGTTTCACACCAATTACTTTACTTAGATAATAAAGCATAACACCTTTTCCAGACTTGAAAGTTAAAGCAGATTTATGCAGAGTGTGAATTTGCACTACCACAATAGCTGTTTCTACATGATTTCCCGTATAGACAACCCCACTGCTATTTTAGGATACAGGGAGCAATCTCCAAATCTCTCCTGAGATCACAGTTAAACCAACTCAGCCTACCTCCTGTTGGCAGCCAGGAAAGGAGTCTCCAGGTGCCCCAGACTCCTTTCTTGAATGAGAGATGGCTGGGGAAAAAAAAAAAAAAAAAAAAAGAACTGGAAATGCCTGAAATATTTTCTGGAGATCCCAGGGCTGTGCTTCCCTAGTGCCTTCAGCACCAATAGTGGCAGCCTTTTTCCACCCCATAGCACACTCCTTTCATGAGAAAAAGTGAACAAAACAGGAGATGTAACCTTACAGACCTTATATTTGGTCTGCAACCTGAATGCACTTTTCCTCCCACGTGCTGTCATACTGAAATAACAGTTCATCTGTAAGTCCATTTTCCCTCATATTCTGGTAGAATATTGCTTCTAAATTACCAAAATGGAATAAAATGTACCATGAGGAACCCAAAAGGATCAAATTAGTGGAGAACCGATTAAATGTGCAACATTTTCCATTTATCTGACATTCACAGGGGAAGAAATGAATCTGTGGGATGTTAGGAAATGTCGCACTAATTGACATTTCAACCTGACTGTGATATTTTCTTTAGAAGTCACCCATTAAATCACAATGTATCTACATGTGCCTGCTCAGTACATGTAGGAATGTATTGTAACTGTCAGTGTTTCAAATACTTAATCCAGAGTATGCTACGAGTAAAATTACTCCATCTGCTTATAATCTTATTCTGTACTGTTTCACAATTTTTTTCTAAGGCCCCAATTTTCTTAGTATCACATTACAAAAAGCTGCAGTAATTACTTTCATTGAAGACCTTCAAATGCCACAGTTTTGTTTTGCACTTCTGAAAGCTGATCATGGCATTTAAAACTAAAACTATTCAAGGGCTAAATCAAAGCAAAGGGAAAGCTTAGTATGGAGGAGAAATTATTATTAGGTATTTGGTATATTATTTAATAATGTCCAGTCTGTATTTGAATTTCTGGGAGAACCCATTGAAGTAAATGCAAATTCTCCCTTTGACTTTCTGTCTCTCTTCTCTTCTTCGAGAATCCTTGTCCAAGATGTCTAGTGATATCCTTTGGCAACGAGAACATAACTGGTAAATGGTCTGGTGTTTCTAAAGATTCTTTTGTTTCTAAAAGTCAAATAATTTGTGTTCTGATAAGCTTCCTTGGATGGGGTTTCCCAGTATCCAGTCTTCAGCACATCTGCAATGCTGTGCTGTAAACCTTAGCCCAAAGTGCAGTCACAATGGAAACACAAGAATGTTAAGGGAATTTAACAGAAAATAACTCTAAAATATATTTATGTGCTACTATACATTCATTGGTCTAGCATATTTACAACACTGGGCAAGCATCTGTCAACCTCACCTCAGTAGGAAGTTACTGATTATACATGATGTGTGAAAAAGCACTATAAAAAGAATCCAAGATGAAAAAGACCTCTCTAGGGTGCTAAAACGAAGCAACTGTGAGAGATATAATTAGAAAGAATTTAACAGTAGCATAAAGAATAAGCAGGAAAAAAAAATGAAACAAAGTTTCCTGTTTGCTCTTAGTTATAATATAAAGACTTGGGGAAAGAATTCTACCACTAAGTAACACATGAATAAATAAATAAATAAATATTTTTCTCTTTCTCCACTGGCATTTGTCAAAGGACCATAGTTACCTTAGCAGTTTGGGGTGAGGTAGCACAGAAAGGATTAGAGATCTGATGGAGAACTTTCTAAGATGTTTCTGAAAGGATGTTAATAAACATTGTTAATAAAGTGACAGGAGGGTTTATATCTGGGACATAAAGCAACTGCTAATTTATGTGGAAAGAACAGCTATCTTAATGGGAAATTTTTCCTTTATTAACCCGTGTCATGCTCCTTCCTATAAAGGATGTGTTATGAGCTGGCCACAGGGCCCGAATTCTGGTGGAGAAGACTGCACTGGGATCTTCTAACAGGTAACCTTGATTCCTACACCATGAGGGACTGAGGTCCTCATACAGCTAGAAGATAATCTTGAGTGTGTGTATCTTCACATCACTTCTCTAAAATAAAGTGATAGGAAGCTGAAGCACGAAGACTGAGTGACTTGCCCAAAACCACCAAAATACCTTCTGCAGAGTGCTGAAAGACAGTCTTACAGCTCAGGTCCTCAGAGCCCAGCTATTGGATTCATTTGTCCATGCCACTGAACAGAGGCAGTACCTGCAGCTAATTGGAATGTCAACGTGCTTCACAGGAGGCCTCATACTCCCTTCTTCATCCAGACTGAGGACATCTGTATCACTTCTTTGTTCATGCACCCATGTTTCCTTTCTCTGCCACCAGGGAAGCCCAGCAAGCACACCTACACCTAGGATTTGGGAAGCCCAGTCACATCCCTTGAGAAAAAAGTCTCTATCACTTGCAACGTAGAGTTACTTACACGCTTACAATGCAGCTGACACTGGATTTACATTGTTAATTTGGAATGCAGGGGACAAGGACCTTCCAGCTTCCTTAAAACAGTCCTGGAGCAGGAATCTCTCCTAGGTTTCTCAAGTGCTACTTTGATATCTCTGTTGTTGGAATATCTGTTTCTCACTGTTTCTTAAATGGGTGGTTGTTCTCAGCATGGAAATAGTTTCACTCAAAAGAAGCAAGGGGTAATAGAAGTATTTAAGAACTCTGAATGCAAGCTGTGTTTCTCCTGTGGCTGAGTTTTCTCGTCTCAGTAAAAATACTTGTTTTCTTTCCATCCACGTCCTAATTAAACAATTTAGTTTACTGTTCCCTTATTCTGCACTGCTTCCACAAAAACACAACTGAGACCCCCACTTGGAGTGTTATTTTTCAACCTCTGATCATCTGTTAATCACCCTAAGACTTGAGCATGTCCTTCAAACCCTCATAAATAAGACATCAGCATGGTAAAGGGAAAAGAAAATAACTTGTTCCATGTTTTAAAAGTATTTTCTAGCATACCTTGCCCTGTAGCGTTTCAGCTCAGGTTTCTCCATCCTTTAATTTCTCCATCTTTGGTGTTTTCCTGACAACTCTCTAGGAACTATATGACTCACAGTTCAAGAATACAAGCTTTTGAAGATTTAAGAGAGATGGGAATTGTCTTATTGAAGACATATATTTTAAACCGTTTCTCCAGAGTTAAGAAAAGAACTCAAAATAGAGACACATGAACACACAAGCATAATTTAAAATTTCTGAATAACAAGCCTTTTGTTTTGTGCCAGAAGTGTAGACTGGAGCAGTGGGATTCCAAACTTGAATATGTGACTAGAAATATAGATACAATCCATGCTGCTAATTTCAGAACAGATGGAGACTATGCTGTATTACAACTAATATTTGGGGAAAACACTAACCTGTGCAATTCTCAAACTTAAGTACAACAAAGCAGACAGTATTTTTTGTGTCATTAATCAGATGATTTTAGAGACAATATGTTTTTAAAAAATGCAGCTAAACCGCATAAACAGTTCTGTTGCTTTCTCACAGATGCTTAAATTTTGGCAAAACAAGGACCATAATCTCCAGTTCACTCCTTGTAATGAATAAAACAGTCTAATCTACTTTTGCCTTTTAAAACCTATTTTAAATCACTGTTCCCTGACTCAAGACTTTCTATTAGTATTGCAGGTTGATTTTAGGGTACTCAAGCTGATATGATTACACTAAGATGGAAAAAATATCCACAAACAATTATTTGGTCGAATGTCAGGAAAACTTCCTGGTAATTAACTCTTTGTTGATCATCAAATAATTCCTCATTGGAAGAAATGGGAGCATCATCTCTTGGCACTATTTGTGAGACTAAGCAATAAATTATAAATAAGAATAAAGCATATGATAGGAGGAGCTGCACTTTGAAACTGAGCTTCAGTGCAGAGTGCTGTAGAAGTATTTGAACTCTAAAGATTTTACAGTGATCTATGAAAGAAACCAAGCTACAGTAGAATGAAGAGCACAGATTTGTTTTGGCTTAAATCCATGAAGGAAAAGGTTGTAGGAGGTTGTAGTGGTGTGGGCGTTGGTCTCTTCTCCCAGGTAACAAGTTATAGGATGAAAGAAAATGGCCCCAAGTTGCACCAGGGGAGGTTTAGACCTGATATTAGGAAAAATTTCTTCTCTGAAAAGGTTGTCAAGCATTGGAACAGGCCACCCAGGGAAGTGATAGGGTTACCATCCTGGAGGTATCTATAAGACTTGTACATGTGGTAGTTAGGGACATGGCTTAGTGGTAAACACAGTGGTGCTAGGTTAATAGTTTGACATATGATCTTAAAATTCTTTCCCATCCTAAACAATTCTATGATTCTATTGTCAGGACAGGAGAAATGGCTTTGACAGCAATCTTAATAAACAAGACAGAAGAGAGACATCAAGGTAGGTCTATTCACAGGGATCTGTCATTAATTAGACCCATTTTAAAAGTCAGTAAATGTTACCCTGTAGAGGACTTACTCTTAAAGCCTTCTATTTTACAATTGTTTTTTAGTTAAAATAAATGTGCCTTAGTTATTAAACATGTTGTCATTATTGGTATTATTTTTAAAAAATATTTAAAAAAATAAAAGAAAACAAACCAAAAATTGTGTTTGAAAATAATGAATATACTTGGTTGGTAACTTTTTCAACGTGATTGATTTTGAAGTATCTATATTAATAGGTCAGCTTAGTCACATACTGGAAATATCTTTAAAATTTAAAAAAGTTCAACATAAACAACAACTTAAAATTGTACAAACATCAATTATGTGCAACTAACCCTTCTATATTGTTGTCAGACAAAGTTGTATCTACTTTGCCTGTATCAATATAAAAAAAATATTAAACTGTCAGAAATATTTCTGAAAGATTCTTGTCCTTCAGAATGGTTCAGGCTTCTCAGAAATTAGCTCAGCTGGTTAAAACTTGGTGCTAATAACACCAAAGTCATGGGTTTGATCCCTTGCATGGGCCAAGTCCACTTAGCAGTTGGACTTGATGATCCTTCTGTGAAATGGTCCTAATTCTGCTGTTGACACTGCACACTTGCTGTTCCACCTTTTCATACTAACATTTCTTTGCCTCTTTCAAAAGCACACTAAAACTAGTGAGACAATCAGTTTCACA